GACCTAAAACCCTAGGGGCGGGGCTTGTTTGGCCAGTGGGGCGCGGCCCGGGCGTTCCCTAGCAATTATGCTTTTGACTTTATTGGGAACTGCAGCTCCGGTAGCTGTGCGCCGGTCCAGTTCCTTTTAGGTTGTAGAGGCCCTGTTAGCAGCATTCCATTAGGAAAATGAAAAACGAAAAAAACCCGCTTCACCCGTGTATTCCCTTTTGGGCCTTTTAGTTTGCATACTTAGCATAAATTATGACTTCTAGATTCTGGACGTTTGTCTTCCGAAAAAGGGAAGGCAGACCGGTGTGGTGACACACACTTAAAATTCCAGTGCTCCAAAGGTGGCAAGGCGGAGGATCAGGAGTTCAAAGTCATCCTTGGTTATACATAGGCCAACATGGGGTACGTAAAACCCTGTCTTAATAATAAAAAAGAACGGGGCTGGGATGTAGCTCAGTGGGGACCGCTTGCTTGGACGTGTTTAGCTGGCCGCTCCCCGCCCCCCCCCCCCTTAAGAGAGAGCTTAGCTGTAAACAACAGCTGTGAGACCTTCCTGCTCTCACAAGGTAAGGAGTCAGGGGTGGGGGGAGCCTCTTCAGTGTCTTCTTCCATCTTCGTTACCGGGAGGATTATTGTCTTTCCCATGAGCCCCAGGTGCTAAGTGCTTCGCATATTCGGACTGGTTCAATTTCCAGCAAGTCCTCAGAGAGGGCAGGGCTTCTGAAGGAAGAGGAAACAAGCTTGGTTTGTTTTTTATCAGCCCAGGGAGCTTACAGGCAAGCTATCCCAAATTCTAGTAAAAATTACTCTGCTGTACTTATGTTCCAGATTGTACAACAGGAAGGAAAGCTGACCAACATGGCTGACTTAGTTTGGCCAATGAACCAGATAAGTAGACACCACAGCAGGAAAGACGATAGATATAAAATAATAAAATATCTGGGTGGTGGTGGTGGTGCACACCTTTAATTCTAGCACTCAGGAAGAAGAGGCAGGTGGATCTCTGGGTCCGAGGCCAGCCTGGTCTATAGAGTTTCAGGACAGCCAGACCTATGCAGAGAAACCCTGTCTCAAAAAACAAAAAAACAAAACAAAACAAAAAAACAATAATAAGGGTGTAGCTCAGTGTTTAACATTTGCCTGGCATGTAAGAGGTCCTGGGTTCTTTCTCCAGCTTACACACCCACAAATTAAGCTAATAGAATCCACTACTTTAAATAATCCTATCAATATTCTCAGTGAAATATCAGTCATGAAAAAACACTGTCTGGGCTAGAGAGATGGCTCAGCGGTTAAGAGCCCTGGCCGCTTCTTCAGAAGACGTAAGTTCCATTCTCAACACCCACATAGCAGTTCATAACCTTCTGTAAATCCTGTTCCAGGGGACAGGGCGTGCTCTTCTGGCCTCTGTGGGCACCAGGCATATGTGTAATGCACATACACACATTTAAAAATAGTGTATAATCACACTTACTGAAGTGTTTGGATGGCCAGTTCACAGAGTAGAAAGTAGAATGGTGGCAATGGGGAAGTTGTTTCTTAAGTAAGTTCTGAGTTTCTGTTTTGCAAAGTTAAAGCTCTAGGGACTGTCCACACAATACTGTGACTACAGAACTGCACAGTTTAAAACTGTGAGGACAGCAAGTTGACCTTATATGTATTTTACCTCAGAGAAAACTGTTTCATACACACACACACACACACACACACAAACACACACAAAAAATGCAAGATGAGAGAGACAAACTGAACTGGGTGAGGTGGTGCACTCCTGTAGTCCCAGCACTTGGGGAGGCAGAGGCAGGAGGATCTCTGTGAGCCAGCCTGATATACAAAACGACTTCAGGACAGGCCAAGGCTACACAGAGAAACTGTGTCGCAAAAAAACCCGAAAAAGAGAGAGAGAAAGTGAAACTAATGAGCAAGCAGCATTTCACCCAACAATGTAAGACTGGCTTAACACGAGAGATATTGATTGCTCAGGCTAGTAAGACAGCTCAATGGGAAAAGCACCTGAGACACGGGGTGGAGAGATGGCTCCCTGGTTAAGAGCGCTTGTAGTTTTTCCAGACAACTAGTGTTTAATTCCCAGAACCCACATAGCCCCTCACAACCATCTGTAACTTCAATTCCAGGGGATCTTCTGGCCTCTACAGGTACCAGGCACACATGTGATAACACAGGCATACATGCAGGCCAAACCCTCATACACATAAATGTAAATCTTAAAAAGAAGAAGGGGGAAGAGAAAAGAAAAGGGAGGGTCTAATAAAGGCATCTGCCACAGCCTGACAATCTGAGTTAGACACGCCTGAACCCACGTGATGGACAAAAAGAACCTACTCCCATTCAGTTCTCTGACCTACAGGTGGACCATGACATATACATGTGTGTATGCACACATAGAATAAATAAACAGATCACTAAATAAGGAAGAGCAGGAGGGAGGAGGAAAAGGAAGAGGAAGGAAGGAAGGAAGGAAGGGTTTGACAGGGGAAGGAAGAAAGGAAGGCAAAAGGGAGGCAAGAAGGAAGGAAGAAAGCAGGTATATGAGGTAGACCTGTAACTCCATCACTATCAGGCTGAGGCAGGAGACCTACAGCATTGTCTTCATACTGAGTCCCAGCCCAGTAAGAACTACATAGTCAGATGGCAGTGTCAAAACCAAACCAAACCAAACCAAACCAAACCAAACCAAACCAACTCACCCAACAACCAAAAAGAAAAAAAAAAAAAAAAAAAAAAAGGAAGGTTGGGAAGGAGAGAAGCACCACACTGCCTTGGGCTCATCAGACCTGCCAGCTCTTAGGAAACTGGATGACACCAGGGGCTGAGAGAAAGCCAGAAGCCTCACAGTGGGTGTCATCTCACCACGAGTCAGAAGAGCATCTGCAAGCTCTGCAGAATCGCCAGGGTAAACGCCCTATGACCTGGACGTCCACCTGCTGGAAGAGGAGTCTCCCCACACACCATTCATGGCAGACAGTAGAGATGTGTGCATAAGGCCGACCTGAGCGTGACTGCTGTGGAGCTGAGCGCTGGAAGCTCAACTGGTACCGTGCCCACAGCTAGTAGGAACAGCAAGCAAGATGCATGTGGAACCCATTAGCACTGAGTGGAAAAACAGAAATGTAAACAACAGAATGAGCTTGATACATGACACCATGTTTGTAAATTGCAAACACATCCACAGAGAAGACAATGCCATGTGCGGGACAGGAGAGGCAGGGTCTGCTGAAGCACAGTGAGGCTAGGTACTGGGGAACGAAGGAAGAGGGGGGGAAGATGGGAAATGGTGAAGGAAAAATGAATTACCATAACTAGAGAGGAGCCTCTTTCACAGTAGGGAGGCGCCATAAACTGAGAAAATGAGGTTAACTCAGTTCTTTATGAGAGATCATAAAATGAGAGGGTGAGTAGGCATGAAGGAGGACAAAAACTGTGAGACAGGAGGGTGTGAGTTCAAATCCCAGATGTACCACTTTGGCAAACTGCCACTCTGTCCTGCCGCTGATATTTATTGAGCATCTATCCAGTTCCAAACACTCCTGAGTATGAAGAGAGAGCAGTGAACAAAAATAATGCCAAAAACTAGGGAGTAGAGAAATGGTTCAGGGGTTAACTGCTCTTGCCGAGGACCTGGGCTCAATTTCCAGCGCCCATGTCAAAACAACTCACAACTGCCTAGGACTGCTTGAGGGGGCGACCTCTTCTGAAGTCTGCTGGTACTCACATGTGCGCATGTACCACACACATGGAGGCAGTCACAGTAACACAGCACTGAGGGGGCTGGGCTACATAACGAAATGCATGCACGCACACACACATGCATGCCCGCACACACCAGCAGTTAAGAGTACTGGCTGCTTTTCCAAAGGACCTGTAACCAGCACCCACATGGTTTAAACAGCATTCTGTCTGCGTGCTTGCTCACGGGAAGAGGGCACCAGATCTCCCCTCAGATGGTTGTGATCCACCATGCGGTTGCTGGGAATTGAACTCAGGACCTTTGGAAGAACAGCCAGTGTTCTTAACCTCTGAGCCATTTCTCCAGCCCCTTTCAGGGGTTCTAACACCCTCTCACACACACACACACACATAAGCAGGCAAAACACCAGTGTTCATAAAATAAATAATAATTTTTTTTAAAAGCCTGCCTAGGATTTAGTGGGCCCTAGGTTCAATTGCCAGCATGGAATAAATTAAGCATGGTGGTAAGAGGAAGCAGAAGCAGGAAGAGTTCAAGGTCATCTTCCATTACATATTGAGTTTGAGACCAATCTGTACTACATGAAATCTTGTTTTAAAACACATACACATAGAGAAAGAGAGAGGAGGCAAAAGAGCATGAGTAAGCCAACGTGGTGGTTGGTGTATGCCTGGAATCACAGTACTAGAGAAACTGAGGCAAAAAGATCATGAGTTCAAGGCCAGCTTGAGCTACATAGTGAGACCCTCTCTTAAGAAACCAAAAGAAGACAGAAGGGAATGCAGACTCGGTGCGAGAACGATTGTTTTAAAAATCACGTTAGCTTGCCCCATGGATTCTGAACTGGAGGAAGCAACATAAGCTCTCGGCCTAAGTTTCCACATCTGCAAAACGACAAGAACACCCCTCCACTGGAAGCCGTAGTGTGTAGGATGGAGGAATAGGTCCAAGAGTCTCGATGGCACAGGAGTGCGGGTTAGGATTCAGGCCACCACTTTTAAGTTTGAGCTGCTGGATCTGGAAAGCAGCCCCTCTCCCCGCCTCACCCCGCCCCGTCTTGCCCCTTCAAGCACAAGCCTAAACTGATCCTGGTCACAGCAGGGGCTTTCTCTCACCAAGGCAGCCTCTGGGTGGCGCCGCGAGTTCCGCTACGCGCTAGAAGCTGACGTGATCTCGAATCAACTCGGCGCTCTGCAGCTCAGGCCTGCGGAGGACGAGCGGGCAGGGCGGGGCCGTTGTAGAGGGCAGGACTCTGCTCCCAGGGCGACGGGGCGGGGCCTGCGGGGGCGGGACCTGTTTGGTGGGCGGGGCCGTAGCGGGCTCAGATGGCGGCGGCGCTGGGCGCCTAGGCGGGCGGGGGCCATGAGCGCCTCCCGGCCCCAGTTCAGCATCGATGACGCCTTCGAGCTGACACTGGAGGACGCGGGGCCTGGGCCCGAGTCCAGCGGGGTCGCCCGCTTCGGGCCGCTGCACTTCGAACGCCGGGCCCGGTTCGAGGTGGCTGATGAAGACAAGCAGTCCCGGCTGCGCTACCAGGTGAACGGCCCGGCTCATCTCACTCTCTTGTCCGGGATAGGGCGGGACCCCAGGCCGAGCCCCGGAGAACCCCAACTCCGGAGACTCTGCCTAAAGACCTCAGAGGAGCGGGGATACGCCCCCACCCCCAAGATGTGTCTGCTCATCCAGAGTTATGTCTTTGCCCTCTGAGCTCCAAGTTTGAGCCTCTTGCAGCTTTGGAGAGCCGCAAACCCGGACCAGGAACTCAGACCTCAGCAACAGTGGAGAGTACACCCATCCTGGAAATTGACACCCCAGTACCACCCCTCGGAGTTTGGGGAGGACTTCGTATCTGAACCAGACCTTGCTGGTCCTTGCAGCATGCCTTGAGCCTCAGGCCACAAGACCTATGGAGACTCTGCATCCCGTCTGTTTTGAGAATTACCCTAGAAGTGGAGGTCCTCCACACATGATGTGTTTGCCCTTCTCTTGACTCCAACTACACCATAATTCACTGTCCCAGATAGCCTCCCCCAACCCTAGAGTTCTTTGGGACATAGTAAAGAGAAGCCTGTGCTCTGCTACACCAAATCCAGAGCCTTTGTGTTGGGCCCCTGAAAAATCCCAAGGGTCCCATTTAGATAGTCACCTGCTCCTGGGATCCATGCTGGGAGCCCTCCACCCACTCCTGTGGGCTTTTGTGCCAAAGCCCCCAACAGCCACCTACTTCCTGGGTTTTGATTTCTGAATCATCAAACCGGTTGCGCTGGGAGGGCAGGGAGAGCCAGGAGAGCAGCTGCCAGGCATGCCAGGCATGCCAGGTAGGAGCTGTCTGGTTGCTTTTCTCCTCTCCCTAGAGGGGAGTGAAAAGACCCAAATCCAGCAACCTCTCTGAACCCTGTGTTTTGAGACAGAACTTGGAAAATGATGAGGACGGAGCCCAGGCCTCTCCAGAGCCCGAAGGGGGAGTCAGCACCAGGTCAGGGCCAGGTGGGGACCCGTCCTGTACCCTAAGCCCCACCTCTCAGGCTCCTGTCTGCAAGAACGTACCCCCCCCATGTCGATGCATTCATTCATCTGTCCTTAGAGGACATACATCCGTCTCTCATGGTGTCTCCTGCCTAGCCAGGTCACCTTACCACAGGCCCTCGGTTTAACCAGCCCCCACCTTCCCTTTCCCATCCCTCCTAACACACACCCCACTCTCAACTTTGGGGCCCTCCATCCTACAGGAGTTAACCTATATACATCCTCGGTTTATCTCAACTTGTCTTCCTTGCCTCCCCCTCCCCGTCCTTCTGTCCTTCAGGGATTCTGGGCACATGTCTATCCGAAGCTCCCAGTGGTCCTTCAGCACCATCAGTAGTACCACCCAGCGCTCCTACAACGCCTGCTGCAGGTGAGAGCCTCCTCACTTGGGGTTCAGCTTCCAAGCACCTTCTGCTTCTGCCTGCCAGCCAGCCCTGGCTCCCCACCCGAGTCACCTCCTTAACCTCTGTCTTGCTCTCCTGCCACCCAGCTGGACCCAACATCCTTTGATCCAGAAAAACCGCCGGGTAGTCCTGGCCTCCTTCCTGCTTCTGCTGCTGGGGCTAGGTGAGTGTTCTGAGGGCTGTTTACCCTCCCTTCTATGGGCAGGCCCTGAAGCCCCTGGGCACTTCAGCCCCCCTGTTAAAACTGAGCAACTGTGCTGTGAGAAGATTAGCCCCATGGTCCTGACCCTCTGGCCAGAGAGTCTCAAGGGCTGAAAATGGAACCCGCCTCAGTGCTTTTTAAATTATTGTTGCCTTTTTTAAAGTTAAAAAAAATATATTTTTTTTATATTTACTTTTGTTTTATATGTATGTATATGAACCATGTGTGAGCAGTCTCCAGTGAAGTCAGAAAAAGGAGTCGGGTCTCCTGGAGTTGGAGAGGGTTGGGAAGCCCTGTGTGGGTGCTGGGAACCAAGCCTGGGTCCTCTGCAAGAGCGGTACATGCTCCTAACCTCTGAGCTCTCTCTCCAGTTCCCTATCCGCTTTTAAGGTTTTTGAGACAGAGTCTCAGGTAGCCCAGACAATGTTCAGGTATGATCTTGAACACCTGCTCGTCCTTCCCCTACCTCCCATATCCTGGGATTACAGTTATGCACCACTGTGCCCATATTACTCTTTCTTTTTATTTTATTTATTTATTGGAGTTTTGAGGCAGTGTTTCTCTGTGTAGCCCTGGCTGTCCTATAACTTGCTTTGTAGACCAGGCTGGCCTCAAACTCAGAGATCCTGCCTCTGCCTCCTAAATGCTGGGGTTAAAGGTGTGTGCCGCCCCACCCACCACCCACAGCTGTTTATTTTCTTTTTAAATTTAACCTGTTCAATCTACTAGAGGATGGGGAAGTAACAATTTCCATTCATTGTGTTGCTTACTGACAGGTCCATTTTCCTACCTTACGGAGGTGGCAAATGAGAGGCAGGGTCCACATCCCTGGAGGCAGGCCAGGTGCTCAGAATACTACTGTCCCCGAGGCCCCATATCAGGCCTGCTGCTGCTTCTGTGGTCTATGATCTAACCAGGACCTTCTCCACCCTACCTTGTTCAGTGGGGGAAACTGGGGTGTAGACACCACAGGCAGGTTTCACAAAAGCCGCATATTTCTGACTTCCTTATGGAACTGAGACATAAACCCAGAGCATCCAGGGTTGAGATCAACAATGGGCCGTAAAGAAGGACCAGTCATGGCTGCTGCCCTAGGTCTACCTCTGCTCCTTCTCCAGGAAGTCAAAGCCCCCAGCCAGCTAGGTCTCCTGGACAGAAATCCAATCTCCACCTCTAGGTGTCTGAGCGCAGGGGACATAGCTGCCAATTGCCAGCACCACTGCAGGCCAGGCATTGGTGACACCTACTGCCAGCTTCTCAACTCAGCAAAGCAAGCACTGGTAACACCCTGGTTTTAGAAGTAGGACTCACGCTCAGGCAGGAAAGGGGGCTTCCTCAGGTTGCAGCTGGGAGGCAGATGACCTGGGATTAAGACCCACACCCATGACTGCCAAGCCCTGGGACCACCAGAAAGTCACCATGGGCTCTAGCAAATTAGAAAAAGATGTTCACTCCAAGAGAGCAGGACCTGCAGCCCTAAACCAGGGCAAGGAGTAAGTGGGAACACCCTTTATGAGTTGTTCTTTATAGAACATAAAGTATACAAAAGTCCATGGTCTCCCCAAAGACCCCCCCCTGGCTGTGCCCTACCCCATCAATGGATCCAGCTATGACTTCTCCACTGGAGGCCATATTCTTGCCTGATTTCTCCAGCCCAAGTTCTTCTTGTTCAGTCTCATCAAGTGCTGGCAGCTCTTAATAAAGACTCAAGTTCCCCCCACACTCTGAGACCTGGCCATGCTGGTCCCTCTGTGCTGAATTCTTTCTCTGCCTGGATGACAGTCACAGCCACAGCTTCTCCTGGGTCCCATTGAGTCACGGCTTAGTTTATCAAGGCCTTGCATATAATGCTGAGCTCAGGGCCTGGCAGTGCCATTGCTCCTGCCATCCTGGCCAGGCTTCAGTGTTCCTGTATCCAGGAAGCCTCACCATGCTCCCTTGAGGAAGCTACTTCAAGCTTTCACACGGACCATGGATCATAGCTAGGATCTTGTCGGTCCCTCCAGTAAGAAGGGACGTGAGGCAAGGACCCATCTGCCTTTCTAATTACATGATGTATTTATTTGTGGGGGGGTGGAAGGAGGGTGCATGCGTGCCCCAGCCCAAGAGAGCTCAGAGGATTAACTTGCAAGAGTCAGTTCTCTGCTTCCCCCATTTGAGTCTAAGGGATTGAACTCAAGTAGTAGGGCTTTGTGGCAAGCATCTTTTCTCACTGAGCCATCTTGCTGTCCCTCATCTGCCATGGGGGGGCAGGGGAAAGCAGGATCTCTCTCTATAGCCCTGGTTGTCCTGGAGCTCGCTGTGTAGACCAGGCTGGCCTCAAACTCAGAGAAATCTGCCCATCTCTGCCTCCTGAGTGCTGGGATTAAGGGTGTACCGTAAGTGTTTGTCGAGTAACTGAAAGGTCACACCAAACAGCAGCAAAAACTCCCACTTCATAGCTGTTTCCCAGAGCCTGCCAAGAACCCTGCCCTGAAAACAGCCTGGTGAGCGTCCTGGGGAGGTTTTCTGCCCAGGGGACATCAGTTTAGGTGGGAAATGCATCATGCCTGGCTGGGATTTGGGCATGGAAGACCCTGCCCTCACCTCTCCTGTCCTTCCCCTCCACCACCCCATGTGTGTGCAGTGCTTATCCTGGTCGGCGTGGGACTGGAGGTGGCCCCCTCTCCAGGTGAGCACCCCTCCTGCCTGGATCCTCCCAACTCCCAGCACGAACGAGCCACCTTCCAGGAGAGAGGGAGGCCTTTCCGGGGGTGGGAGAGCCTCAGCCCTGAACTGTCCGGTTCCTTTCTACCGCAGGTGTCTCCAGCGCCATCTTCTTTGTGCCAGGGGTCCTGCTGTTAGTCCCGGGAGGTGAGAGGGACGAGGTGTGGTGGGGCACGGGCGGGGTGGGGCCGGGCCCTTCCACTGACAGACGCCACCCCACAGTCTACCATGTGATCTTCATCTACTGTGCTGTCAAGGGCCGCCGGGGCTTCCAGTTCTTCTACCTGCCCTACTTTGAGAAGTGAGCAGCACCTGGCCGGTAGGATAGCAGCGCTCCTAGGCCTCAGGCCACTGCCACGTGTCCACAGAGCGGTCCTCCAACAAATGCCCGTTTCTGTTCCTTTCACCTGGAAGGAAAAGGCCCTCCCAACCACTAGCCCCCTCTACATTTGCTCAGGAAGTTTGGGGCATGCCGGCCTGGGAATGTTGCCCCTTATCTGATGTGTGCCTTAACTTATTCCGGGGCTCTGGACTCCTGGGTTGGTGTAATTTTGTGCTAATAAAAGGATAATTAATCCCAGCAAGGATGGTTGCACTTTTCTATCCTACCAAGCCAGGGCCAGATCAATAATGACCGCCATCCCCTTCTACAAAGGTCTAGTGTCAGACTCACTGGTAACTGTGGAGGGCCACACACCCTCCCATGCCATCAAGGACAACCTGGTGATCAAGGTCACCTTTATGTCCAGGGCAAAGCTGGGTGGACAAGCAGTCCCAGCCTCCCTGCCTTCAGCCCTGAGGAGATTCAGCTGCCCCACCCCCATCTGTAACAGGATCTTTGTAGCCCCAGCCAGGGGCTCCGAGCAATGACAGTGCTGCAGGCCTGTGGCTTAGAGACTGGTATCCTGGTACCAGCCTGGCTCTGGAGCCCTAGGCTGTCATAGCCATCTCTAAATATGGAGACAGTAGTGTCCCCTACCCACCCACCCACTGCCCCACTTCCTAGACCCAGAGGTTGGGAGGAACAGGGAGCAGAGGGCGTGGGAGCACAGCTCAGCAGAGCACCGCAGTGACAAGGAGACTCTTAGGGCCACCAAATGTTTGAAACCGTATCTCAGATTTTTGCAAAACCAGGGCCTCTAGTAATATTGTCTGAAACATAAGCAAAAAAACTAAAACAAATAAACAGACAAACAAAAACCAGAATCTTTAAGGAAATCTGAGCTCACAGTAGTTCCCATGCAATAAGCTGTGCTGAGCACTTCCCCTAAATCAAGTCTTAGAGTCCTCATTGCCTCAGCTCCATTTTCACAGAGGACAAGGCCAAAGCCCTAGTTTACAGGTAGGGACCAAACTCACCAAGGACGAAAACACAACCCAAGCCCAGTATAAAAAACTCAGAGAAAAAAAGGGGAGGGGGAACCAGGCTGGTGTCCTCTACAGGTCACCAAAGACCAGCTGAGTGAGTGTTCCAGACCAAAGCATGAGTGTCCATATAGAGTCAACAGGACGATGGGTGCCTTAGAGTCCTGGGCCTTTATTGAATGGGTGGACACCTGGTCTCTGGCCCACCCAGACCTTCCACCCTCACACCTCCAGTCAGATCACCGTAAGTAACATGCCAGTCTGCAAGTAGCTAAGGCAAAGACTATATAGCTAGCCCATAAAGGTCCTGTGAGATGGCTCCAAGGGTCAAGGCACTTGCCGAGCCTGACAGCCTGAGTTCAATCCCTAGGACCCACAGGATGGAAAGAGAAGATTCCCACAAGCTCTTTCCTGACCTCCACACATGGCTTCATGGAACACTTGAGCACAAACACACAAATGTGATTTAAAAAAAAAAAAGTTCAGTGCTGGTGGCACACACCTTTTGAGTCCAGCACTTGGGAGGGAGAGACAGACAGATCTCTGAGTTCAAAGCCAGCCTGGTGTTGGGCTACACAGAAAAACACTGTTTGGGGGGGGGGTGTGATAAACAGAAAAGTGAAGAAGCTGGGAGATGGGGAAGTGGATAAAGTACTTGCCATGCAATTGTGAAGATCTGAGTTGGAATCTCCCGAGCACGCACAAAGCTAGACACAGCACTTGATGTCTGTTATCCCAGATCCTACAGAGATGGGAGGCAGACAGGAGAATCCCTGGACGATTACAAGCCTGATGTCTGAAGTCCCAAGTCAGCAAGAGCCCCTGCCTGTCCAGAGCAAAAGGTGAAGACCAACTGGGGCTGTCTTCTGAAATCTACAAATATGCTATGGCATCCTCATGCCCCCAGCCCCCAAATTGAATTTTTTGTTTGTTTTATTATTTTGTGTGTGAGTGTTTTGTCTGCATATATGTCTGTGAACCATATGTATGCCTGGTACCCAAGGAAGTGGTGAGCCTCTGGAAATCAAACCCTTTGCACGAACTGCTGAACCAACTCTCCAAAAAGTGAGGAAGACCAAACTCAAGCCCCTATTTTGTATTACCAGCGCACTCACACAGTTATAGTCCAGTAAACGTAGTGAGAGCAAACAGGAAGGGAAAGGGAAATTACAAAACTGTTCACTGAGAAGAAAGCTGGAGAGATGGCTCATTGAATGAAAGCACTTATTCATACCCTGACAGCTTGATCCTACTGTGGAAAGAGAGCGCTGACTCCCCCAAATTATCCTCTGCCCTCCACACCTGTAACATGGCTGGCACTGTCCTACACAATAATCGTGTTTGGTTTTTTTAAAACAGACTTAAAGGCGTGGTCTCACACGCCTTTAATCCCAGTACTTGGGAGGCTGAGGCAGGCAGATCTCTGTGAATTTGAGGCCAGCCTGGTCTACAAAGTGAGTCCAGGCAGCCACGGCTACACTGAGAAATCCCGTCTCAAAACACCAGAAAAAAAATTACATTATTTATTCTGGAGTAGAGGTTCACACGTGCAGCACCGTGTGTGTGTGTCAGGACAGCTGTGGGAGTCAGTTCTCTCCTTCCACGTGTAGATGCCGGGGACTGAACTCAGATAGTCAGACTTGATGCCTTAACCTGCTGAGCCGTTTTGCTGGCCCTCTCTTTTCTTTCTTTGCTTTTTTCAGTGGTGCTAGCATCCAAGCCCAGCACAGCCAATGCTAGGCAGGCACTGTACCAAACGTCCCACTCTAGCCTGGGGCTTGCCTTCTGTTGGTTAGCTGATCTAACCCAGATGACACTGGCCATACTTCTCAAGGAACCCTGGGGTCCACAACTCTAAATAGACACTATAAGCAGTATTTTTTTTTTCATCTTGAGACATACTGATTGGAGACACACAAAAATTTCCTTAGTGGCTGTGGGTGGTACACACCTTTAATCCCAGCACTTGGGGGTTGGGACAGAGGCAAGAGGGTCTCTGTGAGTTCCAGGCCAGCCAGGGCTACATAGTGAAGCCCTGTCTCAAAACAAAACAAAACAAACCTTCACCAAGGGGGCACGTGCCTGTAATCCCAGTACTCAGGGAGACAGAGGCCAGCCTGGTCTACAGAAGCAAGTCCAAGACAGCCAAGCTATACAAGAAACCCTGTCTCGAGAAACAAACAAAACAAAAAGCTTATTTCCCTGTCTCTGCCTCTTCCCCAGCCTTCTCCTAGTTTAAATCAGAATTCTTCATCTTCCTCCTTTCCCCCTCTGCTGGGCTATTGAATGGTATACTCTGGGTCAGTTATTTTCCAGGCTAACCTTAAATGAAGTCCACAGTTAATCAGTAAATCTCCTTCTCTGTGACAACTGCAGAAAAGACACAAGCTGTCTCTTCCTTTTGTGCTATTTTTGTCTCTGCAGAATTTTTTTCCACACAAGGCCCTGACTACCCTCAACGCCGCCACTTTCTCATACTTGACCCCCCTTTCCAGACTCTGGAATGTAAGTAGGTGATTCATGCCTTCCCCCTCAGACTCAAACAGGTCTCTGTCCCCTGTGAGTGTTAGAGCCCAGGCCTCCAAACCTCAATCCAGGACTGAGTTCCTCGCTGCTAGCTCACTCCCAGGACCAACACTGAGCTCTAGATCAGCCCTTCCGTGCAGGTTCTTTCGTTGTTGGAACTCCTGCCCCTCTTGCCCAGGCCTCCTGTATGGAGATTACTAGCATGTACTGCCACACCCTGATTCAAGTTCACTTTTCATTTATTTATTCATGGCAGGAGTGGGGCTGGGGCAGGTGGACAGAGCATTAACATGCCAAGGAACAGCTTTGTGAAGCTGGCTCTCTCCTTCCACCACCCGAATTTCAGGGATCTAGTTTAGGCTTGTTGGCAAGAACCTTAACCTGCTAAGCCATTACCAGGCCCAAGTTCATTTTTCGAAAACAACCCTTTATACACATAAGTAGTGGGAAGTGAGCCGGCCACCCTCTTGATTTACCATGTCCTAGGAATTCCCCCCAACACACTGTGCTTCATTTATTTGAATGCAGCCAGTGCTGGGGAAATCCCTGCCTCTCCAGGGCCTGGAGAGATTCAAATCTTGTTCTCCAGTGAGAACTGCAACCAGCTTTTTTTTTTTTTTACCCCTTCATAGTCTGGAAGTGGGAGGAGAAGTCAGCACAGGCAGCCACTGGAGTCGGGTGTGGTCAGGAGGGAAGCAGCCTAGGGTTGGGGGGAATCTCTCCCACCCTGGGGAAGGGTGTGATAGTCTGGGTCCTGCTGGTGTCTGGGTCCCTGGGGCAGTTGGTTATCCCGGCAGGTGCCTCAGCCAATAGATAGCATCATTACAAACTCTGCAGAGGAGATGGGTAGGGAAAGGCCAATCCAGGTCAGGGATTGAAGGTGCTAGAGGCCTGGGTGGGGTGTCTGTAAGGGTGACTCACCATCAAAGTCTATGGTGCCATCCCCGTTGAGGTCCATGTCTCGTAACATCTCATCCAGCTCTGTGCCTTCGAGTGCTTCCCCCAGCAGAGCTGGTGCTGCTTGCCTCAGCTCTGCCACTGTGATCCGCCCATCCCTGTCCTTGTCAAACTGTAGAGAGTCCAAGCAGGGCTCTGACCCCAAGTTGCCTCCATATTTGACTCACTGTGTCTCACCATGTCATCCCGCCCAGGCTGGCCTTGAACTCACAGAGCTTCTCTTGCCTCTGCCTCCCAAGTGCTGGACCACTGTGCTCAGCCCTCTTCAGCTAGTTTAATTGGTACGTTTTTACAACTGAGACAGTGTCTCTGGCACAGGCCAGGCTAGCCTCAGGCTCACTATGTAATGATGTAGACTTGAACTCCTTCTCCACCTCCCAAGCCCTGCATTACAGCTGTGCTCCACCATGCCTTGTTTTGTTTGGTGCTGGGGATTGAGCCCAGGGCTTTGTGCATACTAGCTATGCCCTTTGCCAACTGAACTATATCCTGTTCTTGGTTCTTCTTTCAACACTGCCTGATGCATGGCGACGATGTTCCCCACCAGCTGTCTAAACCTCCCCAACCTCAAGAACCAATACTGTCTCCTAGGGTGGGAGGTTTCCCTGATTCAAAGACCCCAACTGGGAATCAGCCAAGCACTCCCTACCTGTTCCCAAGCCTAGGCTCGCCTCTCTGGGCTTCCTGAAGACTGAGATTTCCCAGGAAGGACATGGTCCATGCTTGCTACCCACTTGTTCTCCTCACCTCTCGGAAGGCGATCCGTAGCTCTCGTACGCCCAGCATATGAGCTGTCTCCTCCCTCAGCTTTGGGCTCATCAGCTCCACAAACTCTTCAAAATCCACAAAGCCCCCCACTGTGGACCCAGGTAGAACGTCACCTCAGTGAGCATCTGCTCAGTGGGGATGCCATGCCCTTCTGTCTTCCCACCAGGGCTCTGAAGTCATGTTCCTTCCTCAAAGAGGAGTTTCTTGGCTACTGGGCGATCAGGGATGCTCCTGATCTTCACAAAGCCCCAGTGGGCCAGAAAGAGACATGGCTTCAGAGCAGGCAGCCCAAAGTTCAAATCCTGTTACTGTGTGGGGCCTTGAGTGGCTCACCAACCCTCCTGCTCTCATCCTGGGATGGCCCAGGAAGAAGCTACTCTATGGAGCAAGGCTATGGCTGGCTAGAGCAGAGTAGGAAACACCAAGTACCTTTTAAAAGCACTGCTGTGTCATCAGCCCCTCAATTCTAAATGGCCCATAAAACTCCAATGGTCAAATAAAAACTTTGGGGGAAAAGAGGTACATGACCCTGAATGGGTATTGTGCTTTTCTTGTTGTTGTTTGAATCGGGGTTTCTCAATTCAGTCCTGACAGGCCCGGAGCTCACCATGTAGACCAGGCTGGCCTCAAACTCCCAGAGATCCTCCTGCCTCTGCCTCCCCAGTGCCTGGATTAGAGAAATGTGCTACCATGCCTGGCTCTGGGTTTGTTTTCATTTGTTTGTTTGTTTTTTATCAAGTTCACATAAGAGAGGGTCATCCAGGAAGATAGAACTTCAACTGAGGAAATGCCTCCATCAGACTGGCCCACAGACACGCCTCTGGGACATTCTCTTGATTAATGATTTCTGTGGGAGAGCCTATTCCACTGTGGGTGGTACAACTCCTGGGAAGGTGGTCCAGGGAGGTATGAGAAAGGTAGCTGAACAGGAGCCTGGGGAGGAAGCCAGGAAGCAGCATTTCTCCACAGTTTCTGTTTTGGTTCCTGTCTACAGGTTCCTGCCTTGAGTTCCTGCCCTGACTTCCCTGGATGATGGATTATAAGATGTAACACAAAGTTAACCCTTTTCTCCCCAGTTTGCTTTTGGTCATGGCATTTATCACAGCAATAGAAAGCAAGCCAGGGTGTGCGCATCCAGGACAAATTCCATGCTCATCTTGGAAACTGTTGTCAATAAGGAAGCAAGAGCAACAGATGGCTCTGTGGATAAAGGTGCTTGCCACAAGCCTGGTGGCCTGAGTTTCAGTAGACCCCTGGGACCCACATGCCAGAAGGACTCACTCCTGACGGTTGTGTTCTGGGCTCCAAACACATACTATCCCACCCCCTCACTCATAACAGCTAAAAGCGAAAATAGCAGGGCCATGGCCCACCCACCCTCCAGGTAACCAGGCTGGCTCCCAAACCCATCACCCAGCCGGGCTCCATCACTGACTGCGCATCTTCACGTGCTGTGACACTTCTAGGAGCTCCATCTCCGTGGGCATGTAGCCCAGCGTCCGCATGCAGTCCCCTAGCTCCCGGTAGCCGATGTAGCCATCCTGGTCGGTGTCAAACTCCTCAAAGGCTGCCTGGAGCTCTGTAGGGATTAGCAGAAGTCAGGCCAGGAGGCTAGACCCGGGGTCCCCTCCTACCTCCCAGCAGCAGTGAGGGACACTCACCCTCCAGCTCCTCGGGGCCCAGTTCACGATCCTGTACGGGAGTAAGCCGACATGTTTGCCACGGCTCCCCCAGCCTCTGCCAGTGTGCTCACTGGGCAGGGCTGGCTCACCAAAGCAGGTGAAGACAGTTGAAATCCTACAGACCCCACGAGCGGAGAGCAGCCTTCTCCCCGTGCTCTCGGAGCTTAACGTGGGTTCTCCAAGATGTCTGCTATGAGGTCTGCCTAGGCTCACCAGCTGGCCTAAAGCCAACCTTGTCCTGCACTGGCTCTCCTGGTCTGGGGTACAAGAGGCAGGAGGCCTGGGCATGTAGGAGCAAGAAGGGATAAAGTTGAGTAGAATTAGACTTCACCCCCCACCCCTACACCCCCTGACCTTTCCAAAGATGCGGTTGAGCAGGGGCCCGTAAGTCCTTTGGGCAGCGTCCTGCTGAGGGTCAGAACGATGCCGGTGGGAATGTCGGTGAGAGGCGTGCCCGGCAGGTGCTGAGGGTGGCTCATCCTGTCCTGCTCTGGTCCTTGGGGGGTTCTTGCCGCTTCCTGAGGCCTCAGAGCCCTGGCTAGAGGACTGCTCCCCAGAACTGGCCTTCTGGGACCCTGAGAGCCGCTTCTCCTTCTTGCTCCTTCTCCTGGTCAAGGTGGGGTCCTCCACAGCACTCCTGGGAGATACAGCTACTTCAGGGGTCTTCTGGGGGCCAGGAGCCAGCTGTGCACTGTGCTCCGTCGCCATGTAGAAGATAACAGGACTCAGCGATGTAGCTCGATGGAGTGCCCTTGGTTCTCAGGGCCCAGAAAGCTGCTTACGGCCCCCCAGGCTTGAGTTGATCACCTGGGATCCACAGTGAGGGGGATTAGGGTAAATGAGTCAGGCAGCCAGCCTAATCCTTGCCCTCTGCCCCAGGGTGGCCTGCACACACCAGATGGGTCTTGATGGGTGAGGAGTGCCAGGGCACAGCAGTGGCAGTGAGCTCATACTTAAGCTCAGCCATTTCTTGCCTAGTCATCCTTCCAAGTCTCAGTTTCCGAATCTGTGAAATGGGGGTGGGAGGGCACACTGCTGTAGAATTAAACACTCATCCCAGAGTGTGACATAGCTGAAGTCAGTGTAGCAAAGACAAGTGAAGGCCCCTTAGTCAGGAGGAGGCATACTAGAAAAAGTGAGAGTTGTTACCTTGGGTCTCCAATGGAGTGACATCCTAATTGGAGTGCAGGGCATATGAATTTTTAGAAAGGAGGCCAGACCAGAGGCCTTCATGCTGATGGAGGGGTGACACGGGGCAGGGGAGAGGGGAAATGACACAGCCACCCTGGGCCAGAGGAGCTCCTGGCAAAGGGTCTCCATTGTCTGACCTTGTTGGGATCGGGGCCCCTGGCTGCTGACTTAGCCCTATGGGGCCACGGTTAGGGTTTCCGGACAGCAGACCCATGAATGATTAATGACCTCTCAGCTTGGGTTTCCTGCCTGTCTGCCGCCATATCGCCACTGGGTGCCATGCAGCAGGCTCCATCGTGGGGCCGGTTGGTGGCTGGACCTTGGACAAGCAGGCAGCATCCTGCTCCTTCTACCTGGCCTGCACCTCCCAGGTAAGCCAGGCAGTGCTATAGACCCCAAGGGAGGGGCATCCAGGCTCTGAGGCCGTAGGGGCTGGAGCTCATAGAGCAGACTCCACCAAGGAAGAGGCTGAGGTGGAGAGCCGTGGGGATGGTGGTCGCAACCACGGGTTCCAGGCATGATCCAGATGTGTTCTCGTAGCCGGTCTCTCTCTACCCTCAAAGGGACTCTTTCTTTCCTTCACCAGTTGGGGGAAGTAGAGTAAGGACAGCAGAAGGCACTTGAGCCTCGAGCCTGGGTCCCCCCTGTCCACCTCATTCTCATCGTCCTACAGAGTGACCGAGAGTCTCCTCTGTATAGCAGCTCCAGGGACAAACAAGGCCACCTTTGCCAAACTCAGAGGTGTGGGAAGGGAACACAAGTGGCAGTGCAAGACACCGAGGAGCCACAGACCGCTCTCAGGGCCCGCCCAGCCACAGCCTGCCAGGGTCTGGAGGCTCAGCCCTCACCTGGTGTCCTGGGGAGGGCACTAAAGGCACTTTCCCTCCTGGGATGCATTTAGAATCCAGTATGCCAGGATCTAGTGAGGGGAAGACCAAGTGGTTCTCTTTCTTTCTTGCTTGCTTGCTTGCTTACTTACTTGCTTGCTTTCTTCTTTCTTTTCTTCCTCTCTCTCTCTCCTGAGATAATGTCTCATGCATCCCAGGCTAGCTCCAAACTCCCAAGTGTAGAAATCTAGCCTTGAACCCTCTTGCCCCACTTCTCCAATGTTGAAATGTCAAGTGTGCACCAGCTGTTGTTGTTTTGTTTGAGAGAAGGTCTTAAAACTCTGTAGTGTAGACTGGCCTTGAACTTATGGCAATTCCCCTGCCTCTGTCTCCCAAGTACTGATATTACCAGCATTACTACCTTCAAGTGCTTTTCAGACAGTGTCTTCTGGAACACTAGGTGGGAGCCCCCACAGCTTTAGAGCCCCACCTCTCCACTCACACAGATGTTCCACTATAGCACCTTATCCTAAAACAAGATGTAGAGCTGAAGCCAGGCATGATGGTGCACTCCTTATAATCCCAGCACAGGGGAAGCAGAGGCAGGAGGATCACTTAAATGTGGGGCCTGCCTGGTCTACATAGTGACACCCTGTCCCAAAGAAACAAGAGGCAGGAGGGTCAGGGGATGTGGCTAAGTTGGTAGAACGCTTGCCAGGCATGCAAGAGGCCTTGGGTTCCCTCCTCAATACTGCATAAGCTGACCATAGTAGTGCATGGCTGTAATCCAAGTGCAGGGTAGATGGATACTGGAAGGTCAGGAGTTCAAGGCCATCCTCAGCTCTGTAATGAGATTGAGGCCATGTGGGGCTACACGAGATTTTGTTTCAAAAATTTTAAATCAGGGCTGGAGAGATAAGATGGCTCAGCTGTTAAGAGCTGCTCTTGCAGAGGACCCAGGTTCAGTTTCCAATACTTATATGGTAGCTCTCAGCTGCCATGTAACTCCAGTCACAGGGGCTCAACACCCCTTTCTGGACTACAAGGGCACCTACACACACAAAGTACTTGCATGCATGTATGTATGTAAGTATGCAGGCAAACACTCATACCCATAAATAATAAATCTTTTTTTTTCTTTTTTAAGACAGAGTCTCACTATTTAGCTCCCTTGGCTGGCCTGGAAATTTCCATGTAGACTAAGCTAGCCTTATACTCAGAGACTCACCTGCTTCTGTGCCTCCTAAGTGCTGGGATTAAAGGCATTTGATACTGTGCCTGGCCCCAAATAAATAAATTTTAAAACACAGAGAGAGAGAAGCTGGCAGTACAAGTTGGTAATCCCAGCATTTAAAAGGCTAAGACAAGGGCTGGAGAGATGGCTCAGAGGTGAAGAGCACTTGCGCTCTTCCAGAGGTCCTGAGTTCAGTTCCCAGAAACCACATGATGGCTCACAACCATCCATAGTGAGATCTGGTGCCCTCTTCTGAATTGCATGCTCACATGCAGGCAGAACACTGTATAAATATACATTTTTTTTTAAAGGTTGAGACAAAAGTCGTGCCTCAAGTTTAAGGCTATCCTGGTCTACACATCAAGTACCAGGCCAGCCAGGGTTCCACAGGAAAACCCTGTCTTAAGACAACATCTAAAAGTCTCCCCAATGAACTTTAAAACCTTTGGGTTAGTCCACTTGGACATGCGGATTCCATGTGGCAAAATGGTATTAAGTTTGGTCTAGATACTGACCACATCTGTAATCTTCACCAAGTCACAGAGTTAATGAACAATCATCTCCTCACTGGTAAGACTGATTGCAGGGGAACCACATGAGGTTATCTATTTAAGTGCCTGGCACAGGCTAATTAATCAAAAGGAGGTAACACTGGCCCAGAGAGGGGCAGTGGCTGGCCTGAAGGCGCACAGCACCATCTCTCTCATACCAAGCCATCATGCATTTGTTGATTCGGCAGACTGGCAGTTCATGTCCAGCGCTACACTGAGGACCCAGAATGGACACTGCTATGGAAGCCAACCTGGACGCTGCTGGCCACCATCCCCGCACAGAGATCAATGATGAGGACTACTACCCTCAGGGCAGCTGGGACACAGTCTTCCTGGTGGCCTTGCTGATCCTGGGATTGCCAGCCAATGGGCTGATGGCATGGCTGGCTGGCTCACAGGCCCGGCACGGGGCTGGCACGAGACTGGCTCTGCTCCTGCTCAGCCTGGCCCTCTCTGACTTCTTGTTTCTGGCAGCGGCGACTTTCCAGATCCTGGAGATCCAGCATGGAGGCCACTGGCCACTGGGCACTGCCGCCTGCCGCTTCTACTACTTCCTGTGGGGTGTGTCCTACTCCTCCGGCCTCTTCCTACTGACAGCCCTCAGCCTGGACCGCTGCTTGCTGGCACTGTGCCCACGCTGGTACGCAGGGCGCCGCCCAGCCCGCCTGCCCCTCTGGGTGTGCGCTGGGGTCTGGGTCCTGGCCACACTCTTCAGTGTGCCCTGGCTGGTTTTCCCCGAAGCTGCTGTCTGGTGGTATGACTTGGTCATCTGCCTGGACTTCTGGGACAGCGAGGAACTGCCTCTGCGGATGCTTGAGATCTTGGGGGGCTTTCTGCCTTTCCTCTTGCTGCTGGTCTGCCATGTCCTCACCCAAGCCACTACTTGCAAGACCTGTTGTGGGCGTCAGCCTAGGCCCATGGCCTGCCATGGCTTTGCCCGTGTGGCCAAGACCATTCTTTCAGCCTATGTGGTTCTGAGGCTGCCCTACCAGCTGGCACAGTTGCTCTATCTGGCTTTCTTATGGGATGTCTACCCTGGGTACCTGCTCTGGGAAGCTCTGGTCTATTCTGACTACCTGATCCTGCTCAACAGCTGCCTGAGCCCCTTCCTATGCCTGGCAGCCAGTGCTGACCTCCGGGCCCTGCTGCGCGCTGTGCTCTCCTCCTTCACGGCTGCTCTCTGCGAGGAACAGCCTGGTAGCTTCACACTAGCTGAGCCACAGACCCAGGTGACTTCTGAGGGTTTGACTCTGCCAGGACTGACAGCTGAAGGCCAGCCAAGGCTGGACCCCGTGATCCCGCCTCAGGTGAACCCCTCTGCCCAGCTGCAGTCAGATTCTGTGGTCCAGCCTGCGGTGAACCCCTCAGTCCAGCCGCAGTCAGATTCTGTGGTCCAGCCTAAGGCGGACTTCCTGATCCAGCCACCTTTGGATACTGTAGTTCAACTTGAGGTGAACCCTTTGACCCAGCCACAGTTGGATCCCACGGCTCAACCTCAAGTGAACCCCTCATCCCAACCACAGTCAAATTCTATGGTCCAGCCTCAAGTGGACTCCCTGACCCAGTCAGGGCTGGATCCTGTGGCCCAGCCACAGTCAAGCACAGAGGCTGAGATCCCTGCCTGTGGGGCTGAGTCAGCCTCTAACCCTGGTGAGGAAAACTCCACTAGCCCATCCCTAGATCCCACTCCTGGAGACCCTGAAAACCTAGACAAACCCATTGTTCCTGAGGGAGAAAGGCCTAGCAGTGTCCAGCCAAATGAGGCCCCCAGTGCAGGACCTACTTGAGTGCCTGGGAAGCCCAGGTCCGCCAGGGTAGTAGAAGAGTCAGAGAGAGCCACTGAAGCAGCTAGGCAGAGAGGTGGGAACATGAAGAAACAGAGGTGGGAACAATGAAGAAATGCAG